CACATGGTTGCTCTGATCGCTTAGTCCCACATTTCAGTTCTTAATTTGTTTATATTTGTTTATATACATCCAACATTGTGCATTAGATGAACTCCAATGCCAGTGTAAATTGCTTTGCTTGTGTGAAAAACATTTTAGGCAGTATATAGTATTTATAGCAAAGCTTATAACATTAAAGGTCTTCATTCTTTTCATAACAACCAGATTTGCTTCACATTGTCATGTCAGTAATAGATAATAAGGTTTTGCAGAGTTAGTCTCTTCTGGTCTCAAGGAGGCATAACAAACTTTTGGTCTATGTCTTGATTGCAGTTAGACAGGTTCAAAGAACCTCCAGCATTTGGTCCAATGTGTGATTTGTTATGGTCTGATCCCTCTGAAGACTTTGGTAATGAGAAATCACAAGAACATTTCAGTCACAATACAGTTAGAGGATGCTCTTACTTCTATAGGTATGTGCGCATTCATGTTCTGTAATGGTTACATATTGCTATTAATGTTTTTGTGCTGACATGTTTGTGTTTCCTTTGTAGTTACCCAGCTGTTTGTGAGTTTTTGCTGACTAACAATCTGTTGTCAATCATCAGAGCACATGAAGCACAAGATGCAGGGTAAGTTTGTCGGATGTTGTCTTTAGGTGTTATTAAGTAGCTGAACTGTACCTAAGTTTTATAATGTTGCTGGACTAACGCTATATATATATATATATTATATAAAAAATTGCTCTTTAATATAGTAAAAACATCCTCCCGTCATGCTGTCCAGCTGTAATGGTGCTGGACCAGTGGAGGAATTCTGGAGAAACGAATATCTCCCATCTGACCTTGTACACTCAACAGGAAGTACAAATTGTCGAAGGGTGGAAAAAGAAAAAAAAAAAACTAAACAGAAATATCTCTCTTCTCCACCCATTTTGCACTTTTCGGATCTGTCAGCAGAGAGATGTTTGAACACATTAATGAGTGTCCAAAGCTCCAGACAGCTATCACATTCCTGGAACAGTGAGAACCTGCGCTCGCTACCATACAATATGAACCTACAGTTAAGTCAGACAAGATAGGTGGGCATTACACTGTAGTACACACTGGCCATCCTTCTTGCTCAGTAACTCCCACTCCATGCTCCATAGACGTGATGACACTCCTTTTGGGGGTGTGTGGGGGCTGTTCTGATCACTATAGCCTGCTGATAGGGGCACTAGCAATGGACTGATAGTGGCTTGGATTTAAAGGGTAAGACAATTTTAGAATTCTCTTTGGCATGAGAAAAGTAAATATGACTTTGCATGTGGCTACAATTCAGATTTAATTTTAATTCTATTTTTGTTTTCCTTTTACCCGCAGCTACCGAATGTACAGAAAAAGTCAAACGACAGGGTTTCCATCTTTAATAACAATATTTTCAGCACCTAATTACTTAGATGTCTACAATAATAAAGGTGAGTTTTGGGTTGTAAACTTTTTTAAAGGGAAGTTATGATTTTCGGGTCAATCTTCTTCTTTTTTTATTTATTTTTAGTGTAAAATCTTTGTTTTTACAAATACCACTTAATACAGGGTGCACTCGTAACATAGGATTTATTGAATGTTATGGGTTTTCTAAAGAAAGCATAGCTGCAGCTGTTTACCTTTTGGGCACTCTCTCCTCTTAAGGGCTCTGTTTTTTTTGGGGGAGGGGGGGTGGGGGTCACTTTTTTCTTTCTTTTTTCTTAGAGCCTTAAAAATTAGTTATATTACAGGGCACACAAGAATGGCAGATTGTGGAGGGTGTACAAAGGGGATCTGATTGCTGGGAGCGTTTAGTTGGTGACATGCAGTGCACACTGCCAATGGTAGTCTTTTAGTTTTATGTTTTTAATGGTTGTTAGCCAGTTATCACAGATTTTTATGGATCAGCTGACAATGAACTGATAACCTTAGGGAATGCTGAGGATGTAGAGGTAAGGCTCCTTTCACACCTGAGCTTGTGGTTTATCGCACGTTCAAACGCGCGGACAAAATCACACCTTTTCTCGCGTTGTGCATTTTTATCCGCTCAAATGAACGCGCAAGGGTGAATGTTTCACATTGGAATACATTTTTTTTGTGTTTAGCGCTGAAACGTGCAAAACAAAATGTGTGAACTAGGCCTTATTGAGGTGGCAGGCTGCAAGCAGTTCTGGTCTGATATAATGTCTATGGCTATAAAAGGTATAAACTGAGGGAGGGGGATGTGTTACTCCACCGACTCATTCAGGTGCAGGTATTCAGTTCAGCTTGACCTATTGAGCTCTATAAACTGTCAAAACATGCAAATACACACTTTCTGGACAACACATGGAAAAGAAATTGGAGCTTCATGTGAAAATAAATTATGTTCAAATGCTAAATTTCAATTACATGACCTAAAAAAAGATTTTATTATCTTCATCTACTAAGAGACGCAGTAAGTCCTAGACCTTCAGGTTATATTGCTGCCTACAGGAGGATTGGACACTGGCAAACAAATGTAGGACAGCCCAGGATAACTTTTACTACCAGCATACCACAGTTTTTCTTTTTTTCTGGGTGTTCTAGGAGACTTTCTAACTTTTTCTCTATGGAGATGGGAAACATCCTGATAAGATTCGGGGAAGCAAATAACTTATATTTATTTATTTGTAATCCAACAGTTTTATGTGGCTATAGATAGGCATTTTATACTGAAATTATTTTATCTTTTTTATGGTGTTACTTTCTCTAATGCCTTCCACATTTACATTACAGCTGCTGTATTAAAGTATGAGAATAATGTGATGAATATCAGACAGTTCAACTGCTCACCACACCCGTACTGGCTGCCGAACTTCATGGATGTGTTCACTTGGTCATTGCCATTTGTTGGTGAAAAAGGTATTTGCTTTGTTTCTTCAGTCTGTAAAAAATGCCTTTCTTTAGGAGTGCATGGTTCGTAATGAGCAAATTTTTTTTTTTTTTTTTTATAATTGGAATCAATATGCACATGCAGATTGGTCCAGTCTGAGCAGTCATACAATTCATGAATCCCATTTACCTGTATGATTGTCCTCAGTCAAATCTGCATGCAAATTTTCAGGCAAGTTAAACATTTTGGTCATCACTAGTAAGAAATAATAAGCTTAGAGTTCATCATCTCACACAGTCAAATGCCAGTAGTTGGTAAATTGTGTACGGTCTATACAATCCTAGGTTTTGTTAGTCTGTAAAAAGTTAATTCTAGGTTGTGTTACACTGTTTAAAACAGATGGTGACTTTATTTTTAACGTATGTTACACATTTAGTTTGGTTAAAGAGAAATTTCCCTTAGAGCAAATTTTCCTTCTCCTCTCTTTAGTTGTCAAAGCTAGTCTCTGGTTTCACTAAGCCAGGTGCGAGTTTCAATTTGCAGTAATGCGAGTTTGTAGAATTATTCCTGCACCATAAATGGTGACCAGAATGTAGCACTGTGTATGCCAACTTTATTTAATGCATTGGAAACCTGAGCGGATATCGCTTTTGTTATAAAATAGAGTTTTGCGAACTGCTCCTTTTTAGTTTTAATAGGATTTTAGCCAAATGAATGGAAACATGCAGTTCTTTAATTTCTGGCGATTAGTCATTTTTATAATTTTTTTTATTACTATTAATGTCAATCAGCTGAAAAACATGCTCCTAAAGGTGCCCATACACCTTACAATTATCTGCAGATTTTCTGTGGTCAGATGGAAAAAGTGCAACAGATTGGCCCAGGTGGAGATTACTCCATCCACACAGTTAAGTGTAGATGGAGGAATCTGTTGCACCTTTTCCATCTGACCACAGAAAATCTGCAGATAATTGTAAGGTGTATGGCCAGCTTTAGCCTGCTTTGTGGATTTTTTTAATTCGAAATTAATTTGCAGCACACAAAGGTTACTACATATTACAGGTAGACTTGGCTGTAAACTGTATGAAATGAAGATGTAATAACACATTTAGTCTTGCTGCTTTTGCATTGAGAGATATCCAAGGCTACGGTCTAACTTAAGAGTAATGTGTGTTTGGGTTGCAGTTCGTGGAACTTACCTATCAATTATTAAAAAAAAAAAAAAAATGTATGTACTGTAATGTAGCCACGTACCGGAGGTTGCGCCACAGACTGCTCCCCACAGACTGCTCCCCGCAGACTGCTCCCCGCAGACTGCTCCCCGCAGACTGCTCCCCGCAGACTGCTCCCCGCAGACTGCTCCCCGCAGACTGCTCCCCGCAGACTGCTCCCCGCAGACTGCTCCCCGCAGACTGCTCCCCGCAGACTGCTCCCCGCAGACTGCTCCCCGCAGACTGCTCCCCGCAGACTGCTCCCCACAGACTGCTCCCCACAGACTGCATTCCCTGGGTTTCACTAAGAGCATTCTGGATTAGCCTTGTTTGAGACTCCCTGAGCTGCACTTGGAGGGTTGAACCAGACTCCCTACACTATATGGGTTATGCTTTTACACCTTGTGTCAACTTTACAAGGCTGAGAAGGCAATCGTGCCATTTCCTGCTCATATTTTTCCTTGGAGTTACGTGGTAACCAAATGTCTCACAGCGAAGAACAGGGGCAGTGTGCAGTCTTATCTTGAAGTTTGAGAAATGTACTGTTTGCCTCCAACCCCATTCATTGCTTCCCTCAAGTGTTCTGAAATACTGCTCTGCCAGTTTTTTTTGAATATCTGATCATATCTAGGATGGGAACTTAAAGTGAAAAAATTTTGCTTTTCCAGGGGTCATTTTTGCGGTTTTATGAGCTGGGTGCCAGATGCAGTAAGACTTCATCTAGTTTTAAATTCCATTCTGTTCACATTCAACTAAAGTAAAAAATGTGTTAAACATTCAAAAATGCTTGAAGTTAATTTTGGACCTTATACAGAAAGCTAAAAATCCTTTCGCTTTTGTGAAGTTCCCTAACCTGTATTTGTTCTGTTGATCACAGTGACGGAGATGCTGGTGAATGTTCTGAGCATTTGCTCAGATGATGAATTAATGACAGAAGGAGAAGACCAGTTTGACGGTAGGATCATTGTAATATTCCTGGTTATTTCTATATCTATCTATATATCTATATATCTATATGATACAACACACCATTTCTACGTGGATGGTTCTATGACCATCAAACCACTGTACGGTCAGTTTCTTGGAGTACAGATGTCCTTGTTTTTTGAGACATCATTGGACTTCAGTTTTTGTGTCTCAGTGTTCACTGCTTTGACGCAAACAAAAACGCTATTTGCTACATCTTTGTACTGGACAGGTCTGTTTGCATTTGAAAGAAAATAAAAATTGCAGCATTTGCTAATGGATAACCCATTTTGTGTTTTTGTTTAAGAAGCACATGGTGTTAATTTGATCAAATTGTTAGGCATTTTAGGTAGAACGGGGCAATTCTTTTGACATTGATGACACCGTCTTTAATAGACTTGTTAGATTTTAATATTCAGACAAGATCCATATTTCAGCTGGTGGGCTGAGTCACATGCTGGCTTCTTATATTTCTTGGGGACTTGAAGTGTCACTAAACCCTCCAGCTAAAAACAAATTTCCAATCCAGCATTATACACAAAGCGCAAACACTCGTCTCTGTTGGCAAACCTTTATTTACTTTTTTTTTTTTTTTAAAGTACAGATTCTCCCAACTCTGCTCTTTTCATGCTTTCCACAGTTTTCCCAAATATCTGGTTTTGCGTTACAAGCTGTGCATGTGTATTGTAGTCACATGCACTGCTATACACCACTACATCTCCCAAGATTCATTGTGCTACTGCGTGGGTGGGGCAGTAATGAATGTGCCGCATTTTTCATTGCAAAAACATTTATTGTCATGAATTGAAGGAATTTCACTTTGTAAACATATTATACATGCCTCAGGAATGTAGTTTGTAGTGGGAACCCACCAAGTAAGGCAACTGCATCCAACATACAGTAGGACCATGTAGAGTCAGCATAGCCACCCTCAATAAGGATGACAGCTGAGCAGAATTATTACATCTATATTTCATCTTGTACAGTCTGACATTGATTTTTAAAGGGATGTAGGTGGGTTCCTACTTTTGGTATTGGGTTTAGTGGCATTTTAAGCAACAAATTCTGCCCTGTCTTTGTTTCCTAATCTGCTTCCACCTACCCTAGGGTTGTGGGTGTTGCATTCTCCATGATATAAAACAATGATCCATCCAGTAAAATGGGAACCTTTCATAATGGTTATGCCAGATGTGCATGCCTGGGAATGTTAAGTACAGGCATAGAAGTCTGAAAGAAAAGAATCCAGTAAGTGTGTTATCTCTCCAGCATCTACCAGTGGAAATATCGCTTATATATGTACATGTACACATTTCATTATAATATAATTAAAACAAGCATAATATCCATATCCAACATCAAAGGTGAAAATTACACATGCAGAAAATCCATATATTGCATCCTCTTGAGCTAAATCGGGAAACCCAAAGAATGCCTCGGTTTACAGAAGATAAATCTAGCTACCACACGCCTTCCCATACATCTATTACTTCTGTATTCTGTTAAATGTCCAACACCATACATAAGCAACTTCCCTTTATGATTAGCCAGAAATGATTTGGTAAAGGTTACCACTTTTACATACAACACGTTTCACTGCCATTAACGTCTGCTGCCTCAGGACTTCAGGTAAGCTTATATCAAATAACTTTAAATAGGCACGAGGCAGCATCCAAAATCAACCCCATACATCCACCCTTTGAAAAAGAATGACTTATACCAGGGAGAAATGGGGAGCGAAATTGAGAGGTTCAGATAGAGCTTATAGTCCAATGATGGCGAATAACTGGACCCCTCAACAGATAGAGAAATAGCTACCTAGGAACCCTGATTTCTGGGAAACTGTTTCCATATCTGTTGCTGGGAAACATGTTGAATTTAAAAGTGTTTATCCTTTCCCATATGCTTTTTGGCTGATCATGAAAAGAAGTGTGCAGTAGCTAGATTTATCTTGTGTAAATTGTCCTTGTATAAAGCCATTGTTTGGGTTGCCCTATTTATCCCTTAAAGATGCAATGTATGGATTTATTTCTATATATGTAGTAGTCACTTTTGAAGTTGGATTTAGATATTAACCTATTTTAATTATAATAAAATTTGTACATTTTCACAAGTGGGTATCCATCATTGCATCACCTGAAAAGTCCCTAGTTGATTATAAATTTAGGGATGTGGTGCATTGGTCCATGTCTCTACCGACCAGCTCATAAAAATACAGATAGCAAGCTTTGACAAAGTAGACTAAAGTTAAAATATATCCTTGACTTAGTGGTCTTGTAAGAAACTGTTGTATCTTGATGACGTGACCAAATAACTTCAACAACTTTCATTAAACGCTCAAGCTCCTTGCTTCCCAATTTTGGTGTTAGATGTTGAGCTGCATTCGCCTCTTGATGAACAGAAACCAGCTAGCATTTCCGCTAGGGTTCACCAAACACCAAGAACAAAGCACCATTATTCAGAATGAATTCAGAAGATGAGAGAGAAGGCTGTAATTACATATCTACGGTCTGTTTCTCAGTCTTATGTATTGTCAGCATTTTCATCTTGAGGTCCAGTGAACCCTGCCAGAAGTGTTAATTGAGCTCTCTTCAGCCATTGGTGAGCACTGATAAAACCAAGGATAATACTAGAATGGTATGCACTAAGGACCGGTTCACACCTGGGTGTTTTGTAGCGCGTTCGAACGCTCTGCAAAACGCTCAAACACCGAAATCCCATTATTTCCTATGGGTATGGTTCACACGGGCGTATTACAGGCCGTATGAACGCGCTACAAAACGTCCTACGCCCAAAGAAGTACAGGAGCTTCTTTGGGGCGTTTCTGTCGCGCGTTTCCATTTGGATACAGCCAAGTAGCCCTCGGAAACGCGCGTTTGTCGCACATTTTTTTTTTACTATGAATCGCGGTAAATACGCGCGACAAACGCGCATATTCGATACGACTAGGTCTGAACCCAGCCTTAATCCATTGAAGGTCAGGTCTTTTCTTCTTTTTCTTTAATTATATTTGAAACAGAAGGAGTCATTGGTAAAAACTTGCTTCTTTTTTAACTTCCTGACTAAACCTCTTTTCTCAAACTTCGGATCACAGTATAAATCTATTTGTGGGCAGTATTTTCTGCCAGGTATCAAACTTTTACTTATTTTAGTTTGGAAGGCCCTATTTTATTGTATAACTTTAGTGTGTAACGTTTATGCATTGCTGATTACCAGTCCAGACATTGACAGTGGCAAATGAACAATTTCAATTTTATACAATACATTTTACCTATTTTCTGTAGTTTGCCCTTATAAGTGGAAAATGTAATTGTCTCCTTAATAGTCTAAGTCCTTGTCCATCACAAGTGTTTGGATCATTTCTGGCCACAGTTACTACTTACATGTACTCCCAGATTTACTGAGCTGCATTCCGGACAATGTCATGCTGAGTAAACTTTGCTTTGTTAGGCTATCCAGTAGTTTTGCATTGATATAACTGTACTTCGTTTGATCACTGCTCTCAATTCAGCTGCAAGCTTCTCACCTCCATTGTTATGTCCACACTTTCCCAGCATCCAGTCTATATTAAATCTGCCATCCTCTTCTAAACTTCGATAGTACAGTTGACCATTATATAGGTGCCTGTTAACACAGGCTATAAAAACTATTGTTTATGTGCAAGTTATCCCGTGATCCGAAAACCTTGTGCTGCTGATGGCATGTCCAAATGTTAACTTTATGCTCTACCTGCTTAGATGTGGTGTTCTTTTTAACCCCATTGCTAAAGACCAGCAACAAATAACAGCACGTTGTTGGCCATGTGACTTTGGAGGGGTTAACACTATAAATACTGTTGTCTCTCCCTATACTTATACTGTCTCATTCTAAACTGAATTAATGTATTTACTCCTACTATTCTCAAGAGTCCTAAAATTGTAGACTCCCATTTCTTTTTGTTTCCCTTCTCATTTTTTTTTTTTTTTGCCAGCCCACCTTCATTCTTGCTGCTGCCAAGTAAAATATCTTTATTTTTTTATTTGTCTCACTCACCTATTTCTCCATCGTTCACTTCCTTTTTTTCTGGACTCTCCATCTGAAGAACGACTCATATATGGCAATAGAAAAGGTACAGACCAGACAGAGCACATTGTTTTGAAATATGACTTCCCAGTTTTTTTTTTTTTTCCTTTGGAGTTGCTACACAATACATTTAAATGATGTCACATGTCAATTTTATGTGTAGCATTTTTTTTTTTACTTGTCCCACCTCTTATTAGTATTTTGTTTTTTCTCGCTCACATTATTTTTGCCCATGAGCATTTGGATATAATTTGCAGTTTCCATCTTTCCGAAGTCGTATTCCTAGACATCTGTCTTTCTGTGCATGGCATTTTCTCTTCAATGTTTTTTTCCATTCTGTTCATGTGTAGATTTCCACCCTCTGTCTATATCTAACATTCCATATCTTTGGTCCTGCATGACATGGGGAACACTTGTCTGTTTTTTGCTTCATGGTTTTAGTAATGGCCATTTTTCCTTTACATTTCTGCATGTCAAATGTTTCAGACAATACTTACTTTATTTAGATCGTTGTTGTTTGTGCGGTGTCGGGGAGGGAGATTGACTATATTACTGTATAGACATAAGTTAAAACAAATAAGATTATTTTAAATTAAGAACACCAGCCAGAACGTTTTGATTAGTTTTTGATACAGTGGTGAAATTTTTTTTTATTGGTGTCTGTGCCCCAGTTGGAGATATTTTCACTTGCTTCCAGTCAATAACCGTTACTGGGACAGGGAGTACAGGAACCCCCAAAAGGTGACTCCTACAACAATAAAAACCTGACAAAACAAGTTCGTACTGGAGATCTACTTTAATACTAATATGTCAATGTACTAGTGTTCATAATTCTGACATTTTAGTAAACTTAGGAAGATTCCATTTGTCCCTCAAATCTAATCTGTTCTTACTTAATTTAAAAATAAGATAACATTGACTGTTCATTGTTAATAAAGGTTGGAGTGCTGCTATTTTATTTATACTTTTATTTTTATTGTGTTGTGTTATCTACAGTTTGACCCAAGTCCTTTTCAGTGCAGTATAAATCTAGGAGCTGAATTGTTGATTATGCATAGACTGTCCAAGGAGTTAATTCATAGTCCATGAGATCAAAGGCTTGCCTATACATGTCAAAATGGGCTGGGCAGCACAGTCTTTCACCTCACATCAAGAAAAACCTCTACTGGAAATAAAATACATAGGCTGTTGCTGGTCTCCTTTTTAAAGTTGTTTGCCTGGATGCTGTACTGAGCTAAAGCCTTCATTACTTGAGTTGCTGACCCAGTACAATTCTGTCTCTCCCCTAATTTTATTGCAAATGTGTTCAGCATTAGTGACTAAAAGTATTGAGGTTCGAGACCAGCATTTCCAGGAGGAGATCAGCAAGGAAAGCCTCCGTATTTGTTTTTTTGTTTTTAAGTAGAGGTGTACTCTAAGAAATATTTCCAAACCTTTTAAAGACAGACGTTCTGCTAGAGTCAGGCTTGATTAAAGCATAGACTATATACATTGCTTATACAATGACTGTACATGCAGAGCTTGTACACTCACTGTAGCCCCTGTTGCTCTATACTCCTTGTATATGCACCCCAGACTAAGGGCAATAACTGAAAAGTGCTATATAGTAAAATGACAGGATTACATATGTTCAGTAGGGAAGTTAACTACATGACCATAATTCACTGAGCTCAGAGATCCTCTGTAAGGATCTGTTCTTGGGTTTAAGAATCTCACTACAGGTCCCTATCTTTTCAGCCCTGAAGGCTAACCCTTTGTCAGCATTTTTATCAGTCTATCCCCAATAGTGTGTTAATTCAACTTGTGTTATATGGGACCAAATACAGCCACAAAGCACAAGCACATAGCTAAAGCTGGGTACATACGGAGCAAGTTTTGGTGTATTCAGCAAGAATTGGCTGAAATTTGCGGTGTGGTGACCGCTTTCCCCACTTCTCTGGAGGATCATATTAGGACCTAAAATGAGAGCGCCATTCATGGTGATGCTGCTGGCATAATTTAAAGCCTAATTCCAGCCAGTGTTTTGTTTTTGTGTTTTTTTTTCTTTAAGTCTTGGGTAGACTGGGGAATAGTCAACATTTCTGTCAGGTTTGTATTGCTATCTGTGACCACAATTGGAAGATTTTGCCTTACTTCAGGTCACGGTGCTATCTACTGTGTACAAGGGAGTGGTTGTTACGAGTACAGGAAGGTAAAGACCTCAATACAAGGATTGCCAGGCATTCTAACCTTTCCCCACTCTTCTAAAAAAAATATGATTTTATGTGTCTCTGAACAAGATGTGAGGGGAAATCTCAACAGTAGGTACACAGATAGCAGTAAAAACCTGAAAGATGCTTTAGTCTGGAGTTGGGCTTTACCGTGAAGGAATACTGTTCTGAGAGATATCTTAGGACTGCTGTTGCTTACCACTTTCTAGTTGCTTCACTGTGGATTTAGAACTTTAAGTCTCAGATCTAGAACAAGCATTACTTGTCTGGGGTGTAAGTGAAGTTGGGGCTTATTATTTTAATATTTATTGCAAGTCAGTTACTTGGTACTTAGTATTGAAGCCAGGGGAACAGTTTGATAGTCAGGCAACTAGTATTTTCAATTTGAAAGGTCAACAATAGCAATCTTCATATTTCTCAAAGAACAGGATTCTAAAATGGAACCCATTCTAGAAAAGGATTAATGGTATAAAAGCAAGGGTTTTTCTCTCCCGTTCATTGAAGGACACAGGCAACAGATCGTAGATCCTGAATGGTAGGGTAATATCGCCACCTGCAGGAGAAGGACGCTAGGCACAAAACCAAAGACCAATTACAGCCTAGGGGCGGCCCCTGCCGGTGGCCAAACCCCCCACCTGCTGACAAGTCTCCAGTTTTTTGCCTAGCGTCAGGAGTAAGGAGCTAAAAATGTTTCTCTGGAGAAATTTTTTTCCTTCTTCCGTTTGACTCGATTTCTTCTAGCAAGTGTCCCCAGGGCGACATGCTGGATGACTGTAGATCCTTGTAGTCTCCCCTGGGTGACCGTCGAGCGCATGCAGACTCTGCCACGGTGGGTCGGCTGCGACATGCCCTTTGCGCAACATCATACCAGGACCCTGCAGGGGAACATCCTGGTACAGTGGGACAAGTCCCCCCTGTCCTTGGACAGGGAGATTCGGATCTCTCGGGTGGCAAGGACCTCCCTGCGGTGGTGGCTTCAATCTCCGGCCTTTGTGCGGGGGAAGTCTTTCCTTCCCGTGCACTGGACGGTGGTCACCACGGACGTCTGCCTTTTGGGGCTGGGGCAGGGTCCTGGGCTCCTTGACCGTGCAGGGTCATTAATCGTCGGTGGACCCGGGGGAGTGGTCTCTGCACCCGGTGGTTTTTCGGCAGCTGTGTAGTCGCTGGGGGACGCCGGAGGTGGATCTTCTGGCGTCTCGGTTCAACCGGAAAGTGGACAGGTGTGTGGCCCGGGTCCTGGATCCCTGGGCGGTGCAGTGGATGCCCTGGTGGCTCCTTGGGGTCCTTACGGTCTACTTTACAACTTCCCCCTCTGTATCTGTTGCCTCGGCTGCGTCGGATCGCGGCCGAGGGCGTCACCGTCATCCTCGTGGCCCCAGACTGGCCTCGGAGGGTGTGGTACGCGGACGTGGTTCAGCTGGTGGTGGACGCCCCGTGGCGTTTGCCTCTGCGCCCCGGTCTTCTGTCACAGGGACCTGTGTTCCGTCCTTCTTTACAGTCGCTGGCTTTGACGGCGTGGCTGTTGAGAGCCTGGTCCTGAAGGACCGGGGGTTGTCCGATGCGGTTATTTCCACTATGCTCAGAGATCGCAAGCGGTTTCTAGAAAGCTTTACCATCGCACGTGGAGGGCCTATTTTGCCTGGTGTGAGGTTGGGGCCCTGTCCCGGCGTTTATTCTCCATCAGCAGAATCCTTGCATTCCTGCAGCGCGGGGTGGCTCAGGGGCTGGCCTTGAGTACTGTGAAGGGCCAAATCTCTGCCTTGGCGGTGCTTTCCAGCAGCCTTTGGCGTCTAATGCTCTGGTTCGCACCTTTGTTCGGGGGTGTCGCGCATTGCTCCCCCTGTCCGCTCGCCTTTGGCTCCGTGGGATCTGAATCTCGTATTTTCAGTGTTGCAGGAATCCCCGTTTGAACCTCTTCGGGGATTCCGCTTATGTCTGTCCCAGAAAGTGGCCTTTTTTGATGGCCATCACTTCCGTTCGGTGGGTGTCGGAGTTGGCTGCCTTGTCCTGCAAGTCCCCGTTGCTGGTTTTGCGTCAGGACAAGGCGGTTCTCCGTCCTCGGCCGGCGTTCCTGCCGAAGGTTGTGTCGGCATTCCATCTGAATGAGGACATTGTCTTACCTTCCCTGTGTCCGAAGCCGGTCCATAGGAAGGAGCGTGCGCTCCACTGTTTGGATGGGGTTCGCGCTCTTCGTGTTTTTTTGGAAGCTACGGCTTTCTTTCCGCGGGACCGACTCCCTGTTCGTGCTCACGGAGGGTCCTCGTAAGGGTCGGGCCGCGTCGGCGGCTACCATCTCTAGGTGGATACGTACCGTTGTGACTCAGGCGTACGCCGTTAGGGGGCGTGAGCCTCCGTTTCCTGTCACTGCCCATTCTGCTAGGGCTGTTGGGGCTTCCTGGGCTTTCCGCCACGGGGCCTCTGTTTCTCAGGTTTGTAAGGCCGCTACTTGGTCTTCTGTTCACACCTTTGTTAAGTTCTACAAGGTGGACGTGTTAGCATCGACGGATGCTGGTTTGGGGCGCAAAGTGTTGCAGGCGGCGCTTTGAGGGGTCTTTTGGGTGTTTTGTTGTTGCCCATCCCTCAGTGTGTTACTGCTTGGTGACGTCCCTACCATTCAGGATCTACGATCTGTTGCCTGTGTCCTTCAATGAACGGGAGAGAAAATAGGATTTTTGTACTCACCGTAAAATCCTTTTCTCTCCGTTCATTGAAGGACACAGGCCCCGCCCTCTTTATGGGGTGTACACTCCTAACTGCTTGTTACTAAACTGGAGACTTGTCAGCAGGTGGGGGGTTTGGCCACCGGCAGGGGCCGCCCCTAGGCTGTAATTGGTCTTTAGTTTTGTGCCTAGCGTCCTTCTCCTGCAGGTGGC